CAAACCACTGATATCCTTGCTGAGCGAGTCAAAGCGAACCGAGAATGCAACGCTGGGCATTAATATTAAGTGCATATAATTATCGAATCTCCTATATTCCGGGGTTGAACAATCATACAGCGGATGCATTAAGCAGGTTACCACATGCGACCCCAGAGGAAATACTGGAGGAACCAGTAGAACTCGTACAGCTAATGCAACACCTCAACACCACTCCACTGACAGGTGACACACGTCAGCGGACCGATCGTGTCCCAACGCTACACTCTATAGTACGATTTACAAAAAACCTGCTGGCCTACTACCATTCCCATCGATCTTAAATCTTACGGACAACAGAAAAATGAACTGAGCCTTCACGATGGATGCTTGTTTTGGGGATCCCGCCTGATGCCACCGCTAAAGGCACGGCCGTTCATCCTAAACGAACTCCACAATGCACATCCAAGTGTAGCCCAAAGGAAAGCCTTGGCGCTAGGTTATTGGTGGTGGCCTGGCGTAGATTCAGAAATAGAGAACTATCTAAAGACATGTGGCTTGTGTCAGCAGTATCAGTCAAATAAACCTCCCGTTCCGGTACACCATTGGCGTTGGCCTGAAAAGCCATGGCAGCGCATCCATGCGGACTACTTTGGACCCATTAATGGTGTATTTTTCCTGCTGCTAATTGACGCTCATACGAAATGGATAGACGTTTATCCCGTTTCCCACCCTACCACAAAGACAACTATCACAAAAATGCAGTTATTTGCCATATTTGGGAAACCAGTAACACTACGCAGAAAATGAGTCGTTTCACTAGCAAAAAATTTGAAATCTTCGTGAATAAAAATAGTGTCCAGCACGTTCGTACAGCTCCATATCACCCTGCTTCTAACGGGTTAGCGGAAATAGCGATGCAGACAATTAAAAGGCGTCACTTGAAACAAGAACCAGGAATTGTTCAGACGAGGTTAGATCGCTTGCTGTTTGCTTACAGGATAACACCAACGTAAGCCACTGGTAAATCACCTGCGGAGATGATGTTTGGCCGAGCAATCCGTACCAGACTGGATCTTCTGTTTCCAAATCATAGAGCACAAATGGAGAGGAAACAAGACAAGGCTGCCGTATCGCAAGATGACCACGACTAGTTGGCAACCGGGTGATCCCATATACACACGACTTCCCCATGGGTGCTGCTGGCAACCCGCAACTGTACTTAAAGGTGACTGTACCCAAGCAGATCTCGATTTAAATGGTCGGATAGTACGACGACACTCAGACCACATACGCTCACGTTGTGTTGGGAGAACAGCAGATGTACGTCTGGGTGAATCAGCTTCAATTCAGCCGGAAACGGAAGGATTCTGTACAATCGCCAGATGCATCATTGCTTCGTAGATCTCAGTGTAGGTATAAATCCGTTGACAATTTTGTGCCAGGAGTAGAAACATTTCAAGAGATGAGGGGATGTCAAGTATGCGAATGACCGATCCCTTTACTTCAGCCGTGCGCGGATTGGTTACCACTCACACCAGCCAGCCAATCATCTGACACATTCCCCCGGTCTCGCAACGCGAGTTTCTGTGAGTCTTGTACATTCCTCAATTGATTGATAAATCTCCTGCTGTTCAGACGTCTTCTGTTTGGTGGGATTACGTGTCCCGGAAGCGTGCGTTACATGCTTAACGGTATTACGTTTTATTTGGTATGGTAATTCGCTTTGTTTGGTACGCTGCACTTCGTAATGTAAATTCTGGAATCTTCCAGATCGCTCCCCCTTATGCATAAGTGTTATCTCCGTGGTTCGAACCTTGTCCGACTTTAGATTCTCACTCGCTTCTGATGGCTGTGTCCATTTCGCTCGGCCATATTTATCCGTTTTTATGTTCTCCATGTGATGAACTGCTCCTCTGTTTGGAACTCATCCTTCCGCTATCAGTATTCCCGTTGAAGTAATCACAAACTGTATCCAAGGCACCACAGGTAACTTCGTTCACTTGCGACAACGTATGTTCATGAGATTATCTCTCTACTTATGAGTAGTTGGAAGACATTGAATACTATTGCCGCTCCCGGCCAAAGATTTCAGCAACTCATCCCCCCAACTTCTGTGACTCTTTGGCTTTCCAAAACAACTTCTCTTGCCTGATTACACTGTGAGCTATCATGTGTTGTTTCGTCTTTAAATTTCCGTTCTACATTGTGGCTGTACGGACTAGTGGTTTTACGTCATCAATTATCCTCCTGACGATCATCTTAACTAGTCGACTTATGTTCCCACGCTATTCTTTCTTCCACGGTCTGAGCTTGCCAGTCCAAACTGCTAGCTATTGCCTGTTCGAATATCTCACCGATTTTCTATACTGGATGTTAAAAGGTCCAACCTTGCGGCCCAGTTCATATCGCTTTCGTCGACCCCCTCCCAGTCCAGAGAGACTGCATCTGTCATATCTGCTATGCCAGAGTAACGAAACCGGCAGACGTTAAAAATGTCAGACTGGATCCCAGCATCGACACCATGTGGACACTAGGATATGGGACACACCAAATAATACCCGCCTGTTCGCGAACATCATTTTCGAACTGGATGGATGTTGACACGCCATCTGTGAACCCATCCGGAGGATTACGTTCAACTGTTATGGTTTTCGCCGAGCTGGGTAACTTGACTGCAGACATTTCATCACCATTCGAGGTCAGGCAGTAAGAGCTGTTAGAAGGCAAACCCAATAATAGATATTGCCAGCCATTAACGCGTTCCTTAGATAGGCGTAAGGGGTTACTTGATTTCGCTTCATTCAAATTGGTGATTCATTCCACTTGGAATTTACCTCCCAGCGTTTTAAATATAAATCAGCGGTTTGTAGCAAAGCTATGCTTCGCTGTCTCGCCAAAACCAGCAGACGGTGGGATCACTCAGTGGCTAATATCGCGAGAGTGAGAAGGATACTGGCATCAAGAGACTTCTCAGTGTCAACGAACAGAAGCCCTCTATGGCAGTGCAATCAAATACGCCTGTTTCTGTTTTATTCTGTGTTGTCGTGTTGAAATGTTTCAATTAAGAGTAGCTAGAATCTGGATGACCTTCCTCACTCCATGAACATCAGTCCGCGGAAGCCGGAGATTGGCTTTGAACCCTTCTCACGCCGATGGCCTGATTGAACATCATTCCAAACGCAGCGCCCCATCAACACATTCAAACAACACAGCTACGTAAATTCATACTGAACTACATTCATATACATATCCGCACATAGATTCAGTACGTTACTGGCAACTTTGCTACAATTTTGCACAATTATCCATCATTCGTGTTTGTATTAACGTGAGCATGCCTACGCAAGCGTGCCTCGCACCTTCGGGACTAAGCAAATTGTTTATTTATTTGTTTGTTTCTACTGAAATAACTCGGATAAGGGAGTGAACAAGGCTACGAACGTAAAAACACTACTTGCAGCGAGAGTGGTTGGGTCATGCTAAAAGACCGGGAGTATTCCTCTGACTGTTAGCAAGTGCTGTTCTCAATACTTGAAGAGAAGGTTGAGAAGCGACGGGACGAAGGCGTATGGTTGGAGTGCACAGTGGTCCGATGTATAGGATAAAAGTATGACACCAAAAGACGCGTAGCTAGTTGGGGAAGAATGTAAAAAACTACGTGATTAAGAGATGTGTTGAAGCCAACCGTGACAGCGTGTGTTGGATCAGATAAACAAATGCAACATACAATTCAACAAACAGCCTCTAAGTGTAAAATAAGATGATAGTTGTCAGTATTTTACACAACACAACCGGTGGAATCCCCGGGCCGCTACATACTTAAGTCAAATAATTTGAGTTTGTAACAGAACTAGGGATAAATAAAAGTTTGCACATCGAAAGACTGCGACGAACCACGTTTGAAATTGCACCCAACTCCCCACTACTCGGTATTAAACCAAGAATCCGTCCGTACAGCTTCTAATTGCTGTGTCACCATCGCAATGCGGAAAGTTCCTAGCCCGTGGGGCCAACTACTGCCCTCTGTACAGTTCGTAACTGACATGGCAGTGGAGGATGAGTCTGGCTATATCGTAGTCAACTGTCAGCCATGCAGGTCTGCAGCCGTCACCCATAACTTAGTGATGCAAGCTGCTGGCATCCGGAAGCCACGGAGTCGGAAGCCGGTAGGGGTCCGAGAAAGGCGCGTCACTGTCGAAACTCAAAAGGTCGAAACATCTGCCTGTTGCTGTTTCAGACGTGTAGAAGGCTGCTGACTGAGAGGGGACTGCGACGGACTACCTCGGAAATTATACAAAAATTCCCACTACTCAGTAGACATTGAGGCTGCTTTGATCAACCGCAACTGCTGTTATCTGTAGAGGAAGGCGAGCGACCGTGTGATCACTATTCACGTAGGAGGCATGATGCAATTATTTTTGAAAAACCGATAGTGAAGTACAAATTTTCACGTCGCTGCGTTTGCTCATCTGGTCAGGCACTGAAGTCTTTCGTAGTGGCGTCAGAATCTACCAGGAATCCAAAAGTCAGAGTTAAGCAAGGCTAGTGAACCAAACACCATGGCACCGATCGTTCTAAACATTTGTGTAGACTCACATAACGTTTGACAAATATTTGAAACCGGCATTTAACGAATGGCATTATCCCGATGCATAGAGACCTGTTAGGACAAAATCCTTGTCCAAAAAGAGCTTCAGAAGCGCGCTCGAAAGGTATGTACGTATGCGATGTTAAAGATATTCGAGAAATTTTTAGCAACAGGGCTGCATATGTAGCGAAGCGCAGAACATTATTTGGAGATCGGGGGCATAGCTTATAGGCATGCTGCTTGCTGTAATCATACGCCAAGAGTTCATCTAGTAAATAAAGACTACGAGGTTGCCGCAGGATAGTTTACTTGGCTGCCTATAAGCACAGCGTCTAGCAAGGACTACAAAGATACTGATACACGACGCTAGCCATGGAACTGTACTTAAGTAGGCCACAGTACGTCAACCGCTGGGAGCGATCCGAAGTCGACAGGAGCGAGAATGTTTGTCGAGGTATTCATACACACACACACATACCCATGGATATCTCGGATTCCCCAGCCAAACAGCAAATTAGTTTTTCTATAAATTTTTTACCATCTCACCACAGGCGAGCGGTGAAATCGTTAGACCTTCATAAACTACTTTTAACCTGAATATCCAAAGGACTACGTTTTGACTTGTGAGGGGAAACTCAACAGCTAGCCTTCGCTGTCTGTGAAGCAGGATTCAAAGCACGGTAAACATGAAGAGGAGAGAATCGCAAAAGGTCAAACTGAGTACACCTGACATGACTGAGATTCGTAAACCACTCCCAGTTGGGAACGCAAAACCTCAATGGAGGCCACACGAAGGTATCTCAATATGCCAAATAATGGTACGAACGGGTGATCAGGTGGAGCAGCAGCGACAACACGTACAAGTTCCAAGATGGCATGGAGGGAGAAGGGGAGAGAGTTAGTGAGTGACGACGATCCTTGTGAGGAAAGTATAAAATGTGATGGAAAGCGCATGGTAGGTGAGCTTGGCGTATCGCAAGGCATCTCGTGCTGAAAAGGGAAAAAGAAGCCATACAGACGAGACGACAAACGCTTTAGCAAAATCAAAGTAAACAGCATGAGAATGTTAACACACATCAACACTGCCGCTCCAATCCAACTGACAGAGAGAGAGTGAGATACACAGTTTGCAGTATAGGCCTACAAATCTAATTATCGCTTTGACTGTGAACACTAAAGAGACTTTGCGTCTGCGGACGGACGAGGAGTAGCTCTACGCAGCATCAGACACAATTATACACCGGATATCCAATGAAGTATCCAAGAAACAGTACGGTGAGGCACGCAGGTAAAAGTAGAGCTTGCGTCAAAACCGGTACACACACCCGTACAACACACCTGATGAGGCAGTGACTGAGCCGGGGCGAGTATCGAAGGAGGGCAAGGAGTTAGCTAACTCGTAGACAGGCGGAGTCTGCAAGAGCAGTGTGATTTTACGGAGGTCCAAGGTAATGAAAACAATCTGGATGAATTTCACACTTAACTCAAAAATGGCATCGGGAAACTGAATGCATGTGGTTATGCCGCAGCCAAAAGATGTTATTCCTCAGGCATCATACGATGAAATCGATCCTCGAACATCTGCTTAGTACCGGCCATCAGCTTCGAACTAATGACGCATTCAAGGTAGTCTACACGGCACCGAGGCGCAACCCCAAAGGAATTAGAATACTTCAGCCGGATTCGTGCAAGCAAACACTGATACAATCTATACTGTTTCCGTGGCCGAAATGTCGGACCGCGGATACGACTGAGAGTGACCATTGTAGACCTGCCGGCCAACGCGTCTGTGCTTTGTGCGTGTGTGCCTCTTCGCGCGACTCATGACGTCTGACTGTTTCGAGCGGATTATTGATCGACTTCGTAGAAACAATCGCATCCCCAGCGTTCGCTTACCTGTACGTTTATCTGTCTTGAAATTGAATTGGTCTACAATGCACATCCCGACATATCCGATACACTTCGGTGGCGGTGACGACGTATGTTCACCATGCGATCGTATTGGTCACCAACAAGTTAGGATTTGTAGGACGGAAATCCACTTGAATATAAAGAAGTCATTGTAAACGTATGGATTTCTTTTAATAACCCAGCAAGTAGGGAAGATATAACTCTTTTCGAGTCTAACCCTGCGGTTAGCCATGTACTATTAAATAGGGTGACGTGTAGCGCCGCGCGCCGTTACAGTATGTGATTTCCATCCGTAGAGCGCTGTTACTGGGAATAGACCGATACGCCACCAGTTTTCACAAGAGCGGAACAACCGCCAGGAATCACTGAACGGTTATTTGTATCACATCTGGTAGCATTATCGAATGCAGTCTCTTAGAAGATACAGTTGCTCGTGTAGACGGTGCGATTGACACATGTGTTAAGAAAACGGTTCACAAAGCTGTGGTGAGTCCCGTGTTGTCGTATGAGATCAGTGTGCACCGAGGGTAACAGGAGGAGGACTGTGCGTTCGACGAACGATGCATATGCATCGTTTCTCATGTATAGCGAAAAAAGTAACGCTATGGTTCCGCATTACGTATTTGACAATACACCGCCAGGTTACTCACTTGAGCACCAGTTGAGTTCGAGCCTTTTCCGTTAACTCGATTACATGCTCCGATGGTAGACCAGAAACCTGTCCCGGCATGTGCTGACTTCTCATACTGTGACAAATTGAGTGAGACCCTGAGCATGACGAAATTCACTGGAACGCAGAGCCGAATTCAACCTTGCCCCTTTCCTAGACGGGGTCTTCGAGATTACAAACATCCGTAGTTGAGTAACTTATTGGATTGGTGCATCACATTGTGACACGGTTGCACTATCACTGAATTAGTATTATTATTGTTGTCAATTCGGAAGCTTGAGTAAAAGTAACCGGATCTACCGCACCTCGTTAGACGGGTAGAAAGTAGCAAGGTGAACAGAACGGATCCTGAAACCCTAGTGCAAAATGTCCATCTATTATCTATCCCAAAAATAAAAGCAAGTAGCACACTTAAAGTGAACAATTGTTTTCTATGTATTCATCGTTAGGTTTACTACAGAAATATACGACGCGAAAAGTGAAGACCACCCAAAGGTACAGGGTTTAGCATAGAGTGCAGTAGAGATATTCGGTACTTTATTTCAATTACATTCTATACTTCATTTTTCTATCCCATTTGCTCGATCCACGCTGGAATCATCATCATCATCATTATACAAGTTTGCTGCAGGCGGAAAGCACCTCAGCTATAGTGCCGCAAAAGAAAAAAGATAAAACTGAGGCACGGCGTCTGAGTCATCAGTAACGGATGGGAATCCTTTCGGAGAGCTAACAGCCGGCTATTGTGCCGCAGAAAAAGTCATATTTTGCCTAATGACTGAGATGGTGGTTGGAGGTGGAGGAACAAAGAAACGCACAACACGTACGCCACTGAGGCACGCTTTTAGGCATGCCAACAACGGTATCCAATCAAACGCGTTCATCGTCCTTCGGACCCCAACCAGGGAGCCGAGAGGCTCCAACGGAGGCAAACTTCGAAGTAAAGGCCTTCATTCCCTCCTCTTCTTCCATCCACATTCCCGGCGAGCATAGAACGCACGTCTTGGAAGTCGGTGGGCTGACATACGAAACGCGTGGCCGAACCATCGGAGCGTGGTGCATGAAATAACGATGCTGAGCGGTTCATTTTTCTTTCCTGTGCCGTACACACGGTGCCGAACACGCTCATTGTTCATACGGTGTTTCCAACAGATGTGAGCCAAACTGCGAAGGCACCGGTGATATAACGCAACTAGCCTCTTGATGTTGGCTGATTTAAGGGGCCAGGTTTCAAAACCGTACAGTAGGGTCGAACGTACGGCTGCATTGTAAACTCTACCCTTCAGGGCAAGAGTGATATCGCGCCGTTGTCCTAGGTGGCGAACGTTAGCAAAGGCGCTTCGAATTTTAGCTGTACGGTTTGTGATCTCGTCTACGATTCCACAGGCGCTGATACAACTTCCTAGGTAGTTGAATTTTTGAACGACTTCTAGCTGATCCCCACCAAGAATCAGCGCAGGGGGCGGTCCCCACGAATCTTGGAGGAAAGCTTTGCACATCGAAGGTGCAAAACAAAGTCCGAAACGAGTGACAGCCAGTGATTGTCTGTCCAGTGTTGCGTGGCACGTTTGGGGACTGTCACAGATGAGGGCAATGTCGTCAGCATATTCCAAGTCAAGAAGTCGTTCACTTGGGAGCAGCTTCACAACTTCTAAGTCGTGTCCTGCGAACGCGATCTCCATGACTTCGTCAATATGGGATTTGAAAAGGAAAGGTGACAAGGGGCATACTTGTCTCAAACCTCACTTTACCCGAGCTACGTTCGTAAAGCGTTGGCATAATACTTATATACTTCGCGAGCACACGTTTCCTTATCAGACAGTCCCAAAGGGCACGTCGATGCACTGAATCGAAAGCACAGTTGATGTCGAGGAACAAGACAATGGTGGACCGCAAATATATGTGAAGGTAATCAAATAACTGACATAATGTGGATATGTGGTCGATACAGCCAAGACCCCGACGAAACCCGGGGTTCAGTAGTTTATAGCAATGCAAAGAAGCGCAACCACAATGGACTAGAACATGTAGAGTGCCTTCCAGGTACTTCTCCAAAAATGGAATATTGTGATCGATGTGGTAAGCTCAAACTTGATCCGCTCTGGCTACGGTACATGAAGCACGACTTAGTCAAAGTATTCAACATGTTTCGCAAAAATACTCAGGTTTTCAACCTCAGCATGCCGCTAATGCAATCAGCCGTTCATCACATAAGAGGAATAAAAAGAGAACTCGGTGGTAGAATGCCAGATCAGGACAAGCAGGTGCCCGCCAACTTTTCCCTTAACGGATACGCTAGTGTCTGGAAGAAGCCAGTAACCGGAGTACGTGACTGCACTTCGAGCAGGAATTTCGCAAAAGCATCAACAAATTCTTAAATGTACAAAACCTGAACAACCTATTCTGTTGTTCCATTACAACAAGCCAAGTGCACGAGCAGGATACAGGTTTCATATGACCTATTACTTGTTTCGCCATCATAATCTCCTATACGAATTACATGTTTTATAATAGCATATAGCGTTTTATAATAACGCATGTTAGAAAATGGTTGAAGGTCAGTCAACATCAATTCATTTCAACATATTGAAACGAGTCGGAACACAGGGATCTACTGAGAGATTCGCAGTTGCAATGCCCGTGTTAGACGCAGAGGATGAAATAGACTTGGATAATGTCGACGTCATTAGGAGAGGGTTGCGATCAACACTCTAAAGATTGAACGCGGAGGCGTTGAAAATTGCCGAAAATAGCAGCTGCGTAAACAGAATGGATGGGGTGGAATTATCAGATGTTTAGCGGGCTATCCTGACCCCGCCAGTCTGAGGTGCATCAGGGGACGGATCTGGTGCAGAGCGCAAACATCAAACTACCCCTCCCCGCATCGCTGGTATGGTCCTACGTGTGATGACATCGCGCAATGAACCACTTGAGACCTTACCATCCCTAATGTGTTCTAATCCGCGTAGGGGCGGGCGTTCTCACGTTATACAGCTCACGCGCGAATAGTGGTGGTCGCGTGGCAGCGAAGCGCCGTTACGGCGTAAAGCTGACACATTATTATTATTATTACTACTATTATTATTAAGATGTCACTTAAAATGAGACTTTGATCTGGAACGTGAACACCCTCCTAATTACATCTCGGATGCGGCGATTATCGTCCTAGTTTGCCATACATGTCCCATTAATCACCTGATCGTTCACTTGGCTGACCAAGCTTTTATGTCAAAAGCAAAACGTTGCCCTCCAACTAAACCGACAGGTTGTTTTTAAACCCTGCTGGAATCATCAGTTCATTCCAGTCAATCATTTACAGGTTATTGGAACCTCTCCAAAGATCATTTTCCTATCTTATTTCCAATTTTCCTGTTCCATATGTGATCTATGTGTTATACAAGTATATACTTTCCCTATCATACTGCTGCGGGTGTGCCTGGCATCATCATTAATGAAAAGGTTTATCTACTTATTTTTTGACAAAATTAAACGGTTACGATAACACGCGTCGGGGGATCAGATGAGTAAAGACATGTGGCGTCGTTGAGCGAGATTCGATCTGTCTCCGTTGGCTGTTGGCCAAGATAGTTGTACTGTTTGGAGGAATATCTTTTAAAATGCATGGATACATGCCGCTTTAGCGGTAATAAGCAGCTGCGCTTCTGACAGATGGCTTAGTTGCAATGGTATACCACACAAGATTTTTAAAGAATTACGTTTGTCAACTAAATGTCCAGAGCAGATCAGATGGATAGTTATTGCACTCAGTTTAGCTCTGTCCCGCTGATTGATGAGTAAATTAGGTAAATGTTACATGATTAGCATTTCTAAGTCGGTGGTAGTGCGTCCAGTGTACCTAGCAGCACAAGATCAGGTAAACCGGTGGATAACCACTGAGTGGAGTTGGTCAGACACTTCCTTTGAATCTAGGAACAATCAGTGATTTGTTCGTAAAGATAACGCTAAGTTATTCTGCATCAAAAGTTCTCCTGCAGGTTTGTAACAGTCATTGGGGCCCTTAAATAATGTCTGTTGCTGAGTTATCTGCAGGACAGTGAAAATCGCAAGGAGCCTGTCATGCATAGGTTGACTTATCTTTGCACAATAACCAGGCATTTGTGACCGTAGTTTGGTGACACCATATAGACGTCCTGGTTTTCTTCAGTTTCTACACCAGGTCCTTATTGCCACCCTGGGTTAAAGTCGTCGCATGTAGTAAGAAGTAACACATGAGGTCGTGATTAGCAAATTGTAGCAGAAACACACACCTATGTTTACGTCATTCGCTCGCGTGAATGTGGTGAGGCCAATGGATCTTCAAACGGAGGAATGGGTCGTTCTGGGCAATCGGTTGGAAGAGCCACTTCTTCGGCTTCAAGCAGAACCGTGCCATCAGTCTCTCCAGTCCGAAAACGGTTGGCAAACGGTGGACACATATGGGGCAGACGAGGCAGGGAGTCCTTGCTCCAAGAATGATTTCCCGCATTTCGATGAGCAGGAAGATAATGCAACCGGTCATCTTGAAGTCCATTTGCATTGACAGAGCTGAAAGTCCATCTGGATTCATCTTCCACCGGAGGCCAAAATGATTCACCGGTGTCGGGCTCAAGGCGAGAGACAGCACCAAACGTCTTCCAGCGTGGGATTGAAATAAATCGATTCAATTGACTCGCAGCAGGGAACAATGTACCGGAACGAAGGCTAACTGGTCGTCTGTTCCGTTGATAGCAGACAAAGATCAAGGCAAGTAGTGTGCAGCATATGAGGACAATTGAGATAGATACAACCCCCATGGATGTGCCAGCTGGTTCCGTGGCTGCGTCCTGGGCGAAAGAATGACGAAAATATGGAGAGGTTGTTATGGAAAAATGTGAGATCTGAGACAACCGGGTTAGACGGAGATTGAAGATACAAATTAAAAACTATAGGAATTGGAGTTCAAGTTAAGGTGGATCACCAGTTATCCGCATCGTGGTGGATGTTGGCAGTAGGCCAACCATTTGAGCCGAAGCTTCCCTGACTGCCAACGAACGCAATACTTTGAGCCATTGTGTAACGATAGGTACGTGCGGCTGGTGTTTCCCTGTTTAGTAGCTGAAAAGGGCGTGTGCGAGTCCGATAATCTTGTGGGTATGACAGGGATAATAGTGAGGGAATATGATCCATCGCATGGTTGAACGACCATGCCAACCGTTGATAGGTTGAGGGCCAAAAGGAAATAGCCAGCGTCTCACCAAACAATAAACTACTTAAAATAGAAGCAAGTAATAGACTTAATAACCAAAATATTTCCCGCAGATCCAGGAAACTGCAGAGGATGCGGGGTAATCACATGAAAGAGTCAAAGGCGGGTGTGGATCAGAATGCGATCAGCGGACGAACAAAACCAGATTGAAAGACATTGAGTGAATGACGAGCTCACATTATGGGTCGCTAGCTCGCGAAGCAACGATCAGACAAATGGGTAGAGGAAAAACCAATATCAAAGGACAATCCCCAGAGAAAAAGCGACGACAAGAAGCAGTAACGACGAAAAGCAATCTTCACTGTCAAACCGTGTTCTGTTAAATGATTTCATCCATGTGAACGGACATAAACTACTAGTGAAAATGTTAACATGCTACACTCGCAATAAATCATTTCGACGCAAGAACAACTGCCCTCTCGGTTTTGTTATCCAAACTACATCAATAAATGCAACAGATGAAAGTAAAGTCTCCATGCAAAATAATTTATCTTTGTCGTTTTCGCGAGACACGAGTACAGTGAGATAAAGTTGGTGCACTACATGAGTACCTCTTCATAGACACTAAAACGGTATCACTAGCGAGTCATTCGGGTTGGTTCATTTCTATCCCAAATAGGATCGAAGGACTTAGTTTGTGAAATGACGTTATTAGTTCATGCATTCTTGTTGATCACATTTATGTAACCAATAGAGAGTATTAGAGCAAGATCGCTTGGGATTGATTAGTGGCAAAGTGGCGACCGACTGTTGAGCTTCGTTCCACCACGGGAGGTTCAAAGGGCGTGTCAGCAGCTCTGGATGTGGAGCAAAGGCTGTTCTCGGTGGATAATAGTGGATTGAAAGCGGTTGAGAACGTGTAACCTTTGACTGCGCATAAGAACAGTGAAGGATGCACGCAGGTTGACTTCGTAACCCATGCTCAGTGAATGTCGCAACGCCGCTGTAGCATCTCTGTTTTTCGATTCATCTGGCTGAACCGGTACTCCCAATTGTTTGAGTAACAAGAATGGGGTGCGTTAGTCGGCTCGAACATCATCATCATCATCATATACGTTAGCTAGAGGTGGGGAACACCTCAGCTACTGTGCCGCAATACAGAGAAAAAAGGGGGGAAAATGCAACTGATGCAAGCTGGCTGAGCTACCGGTAACGGAAAGGCATCGTCCCAGTAAACTACCAGCTGGCTGCTGTACACCAAAAAAAATTACTATGCAAAATTGTATAAGTCTAAATAATGAGATCATGGTTGGAGGAGGAGGCTAAGAGGGATGGGGTAGGACAAAGAAACTCACAGTACGAACGCCACTGAGGTCGGCTCCTAGCCATATCAGCAAGTGTGTCCAACCAAAAGTGTTCATCGTCTTTCGGACCCTAACCTGGGAGCCGAAACGCTCCAACCGAGGCCAGCTCAGAAGTGAGGGTCTTCATTCCTCTGGACCAAATCATCGCTTGGCCACCTCTCTTCTTCTTCCATCCACACCCCCGGCGCGCAAACAACGCACGTCGCGGAAGTCGGTGGGCTGCCATGCGTAACACGTGGCCGAGCCATCGGAGCCTGGTGCGTGAAATAACGGTGCTGAGCGGTTCAGTTCCTTTTCCTGCGTCATAAACAAGGCGTCGAACACACTCGTTACTCACGCGGTGTTCCCACCAGATGTGAGCTAAATTACGAAGGCACCGGTGGTCGAACGTAACTAGCCTCTTCAGGTCCGCTGCTTTAAGCGGCCAGGTTTCACAACCGTACAGTAGGGTCGAACGTACCGCTGCATTGTACACTCTATTCTTCAGGGCAAGAGTGATGTCGCGCCGGCGCCACAAGTGGCGAAGGTTAGCAAAAGCGCCCCTAGCTTTTGCTATACGATTCGTGATTTCATCTTCAATCCCACGGGCGCTGAAACAACTTCCCAGGTAGTTGAATTTTTGAACGACTTCTAGCTGATCCTCACCAAGGGTCATGGTAGGAGGCGGTCCAGATCAATCTTAGAGAAACGCTTTGCACTTCGAGGATGCGAAGCAAAGCCCGAAGTGACGGACAGCTAGTGCTAATCTGTCCAGTGCCGCTTGGCACATTTGTGAGCTGTCACACATCAGGGCAATATCATCAGCATACTCTAAATCAAGAAGCCGTTCTCCTGGGAGCAGATTCACATCTTCTAAATCGTGTCCTGTGAACGCGATTTCCATGACTTCGTCAACAGCGAAGTTGAAGAGGAAAGGTGACAGCGGGCATCCTTGTCTCACGCCGCTGGAGATATTAAAGGCAACGACAACTTGCCGTAAGCCCTCACTCTGCCCGAGCTACGCGCATATAATGCTCGGATAATATTCACATATTTCTCAGGTACACCTTTCCTGAGTAGACAGTCCCAAAGTGCATGTCTATCCACCGAATCGAATGCACCTTTGATATCGAGGAACACGACAACGGTCGGCTCGAACAGCCAGACATCGATCAGACCACTCGAAGTAGCTGTCTCTACAGCCAAGGGTGAATTTTTATAGTAAATGAGACGTGCCCCACTATTATGTTGGTGTCTTCCCTGAACACAAAAGTAGTGGTCTCACCGATACCATCGATCATAGTTCGGTTACAAGGTATGGCTCCTGCTGTGAATTGTTTAAGCGTTCTGTGTATGTGCTCGCTTTTGAACGGTACATCAGTGGAGAACGGGTTGTCATGAGTCGCCTTCTTTCACGGTTCTCTTTCGTCGCGTTACCGAAGCGCTTTCTGAATGGCAGTGGAGAACCGCTGGATTGTAGCGCGTCGAACAACAGCCGTTTCTCTACCTCTAGTGTAGATAGAGTGTAAATCATATTTGTTCGATGACATATTTTGAACTACAGAGTGTTTGTGTTGTACCTGCTAGAAGCACTGATAAGCGACCAATGACCAGTTCAGGTCGCCTTTCAGCACGCAGACTATTCGATCGAATCATCCGGTCACCGTTCGGGGGCAGCATGCTTAGGTAGAAGAGATAAACTTCGCGCCCAACCTCATATTAAGGTAGCATACCTCTAAGCGCCTTAGTCGCACGCACAATGTCTTCATCCGAGTCCATGACTAAGAATATATCATCAACATAGTGTTGTACATATCTACTTTTTCTTTAATCACACCCATGAATACACCTGTCAGCAATAAGCTGGGCCACCCATTTGACATCAGCAGCAAGCCGGTACGCAGTATCGGCGGCTAGCTTCCGCGCAACAACCAATAGTCACGCGTAGGCTAAAAACACTGCAACGATCACCCGGTCCCCTACGCAGGCGCGAACCCGCGATCCTTAAGGCTACAAGCCGGACACCATCTATGTGTCGATATACCTTTTCTTGACAACAAGGCTTGGTGTTTTGTGCGCAAAGTGGTAACATGCTCCAAAGGATCTTGATAGGGAGCTGTGTTTGGACGATGCGTTTCAGGTTTCAACTCACAGTGATGGTCAACAATAGCCTTGGTATTCGATTCGGAGATGACTGGTGTAGGCAGCGCATCGCAGGTCAAACATCATGTGGCCATTCGAAATCTCAATGGCGAATACATCGGGAAGAAGATACAACTAATCGCAACTACTAATATGACGTGATTTATGTGGTTAAAAATCCAACTGATGGAGGGTCGACGAAAGCGCAAAGAAATGCCACTAACTTGCATGCAGCTCTGTTCCACTAAGTCCATGTTCTCCGAAAGCCAGCTCTCGTTGTGCTAGATACATTTGTAGCTGCGGAAATTTGTGGTGCGTAATAGGACTGGTCCATGGTTTTCATCAGTTTCCGATGTCGACCGGTGACCGAGTGGTCTGCACGCCTGGTTTGCAACCATAAGGTCACGAGTTCGAATCCGCGTATGGGCGGGCGTCCTCGCCGTATACTCAGCCCACGCGCGACTGGCTATGGTCCCGTGGCAGCGAAGCGCCGTTAGGGAATATAGCTGACGGTTATTTACTTATTCGTTTCATATTCTGTTTCCGTTTGATTTAGAAATATATAGCACACTACTTATTTTCAGGGCAACACAAAGTGAGTATACAATAGATATTGGGCGTTTCCTGCCCGAAAACACATTACATTACATAGGAGAACGGTAAGCGTGCATAGCAGGGGCCACTCTAGTTGAGGACACCCGGTTCGGTAAGCACCAATACGAGTGTGCACGGAAAAATGTGAGGGAGAACTGAAGGTAAGGTAAACCCGATGAACCGGAAGAAACTTGTTAAAATTGGATAAGAGGATTCATCACCAACAGCAGTAGAGGATCAACCATTCGAGAAGATGTTTTTCCATTATACAACAGTGATTGCTTAGAGAATGCTGAAGAATAAGGTGAGAAAAAAGGGACCGAGTGTAAGACCTGAAATCCCTGAGTAACTATTCAGAGGCAAGGTACCTACGCATTGGCAAACGCACATAGTCGCAAACAGCTCACTTTCGTGCGAAGATATGGTGGCTGCAAAGAGATAGAAATTCGCAGTATTCACTGCCCAGTGTGATAAACTGTCTTACCTCGCAAATAGCCCAGTAACAGATGCACTCTAAGCAGGCAATCCGACCAGCAGGTAACATCTAACAAGCTAGGAACCATATTCTGAATGCATGTAATCAATTACAAAATGGGTCACGTACACCGTGGACAGACAGTGACAGCTGGTTGGAAAACGCTTCTCAATTGGTAGTTATCGAGTCACTAGTTTCCGAGTCCCAGCTACTAGACAGCCCTGCAAGAGCGATTAGACGTAGATGGTTATACACCAGTGGTGTCTAGTCCGTTCGATTAACAAAGTGGTTTATTGTCTCCATTTGATATATCAGATGTGAATTGGCGAGAGAAAACATTGATTCCTAAGAATCATTCATATGCTACTGAAAGACTGATGACCCTCAGTTAATTTTAAAACCACACTAGTGTAGGTTTCGATTTTTTGTGGGAGACAAACCCATGAGTTACCGGCATTAAGAGGGAAAAATATTACCAAAACGGGATTTGAACAAAGCCCGAGTATGGAACTGTTCCACAGAGGGGGTTGCCAACCGTCTACACAGCGGTCTCCTGGGATTCGTCGATAGCCAAGGTACTGAATGTCCCTTCGAAGCTCAGTGGACAGTAGACATGGATCCGGAGCTACTGAAGGATCAGGAACGCATTCCGATGATGAAGATTGTCGACGGTATCCATAATCACTGGTCAGAAAAGATAACAGATAAAAACAAAAGGGTGGAAATCTAGTTACTGAATGTATGCGGCCAAAAATATAAACTAAATACGGTCAGGAAAGTTCAAATACATCGGAAATGGTATCGAACCGAGATTGGAGTAAGAGGTGGCCGGCGAGTTTCTGCCTAGAGACGGAGTGACCGGAAGTATCGGTGAGTGTAGTAGTTTCCAAGACATAAACAAAGGTATTTTGCAATAACACACATTAGTCACAACTAAAGATGGTACGCAGTGAGTGCACTGACGGAACTTATTATTGTCATTATTAACCCTCAGATGAAGTTGAGAAACACAATTCATCTAACTGTATATATATTTTTCGCAAGTCTACGAATAGACATAGAGCCATCAGAAACGATGGAACTCAAAAGAAGGGACAGAAATAGTAAAAAACACAACACAACACATAAAAGTCCATGGTTTCGTCAGAGGGCGAGATACTACCCGGTCGCCAAAGCCGGGTAGGTAAAAAGGTGAGATAAAAAACAATACGGAATACAAAAGGTAAAAGAGGAAGTAATATAATACTAAGCATAATATTTACTATGCGGTGTGAGATGGTTGTTGGAGGGGGAAGCTAATGGGGAAGGGGAGGGACAAAGAAACTCACAACATACGCCACTGAGCTCGGCTCATTGCCACGGCAGTTAGTGTACTCAACTGAACGCGGACATCGTCCTTCAGACCTCAGCCTGGCAATCGGGTGACACCAATCGGCACCCACTTCGAATTGAGGGACTACACTGCTCTTGACCAAATCATCGCTTGGCCACCCTTCCTCTTCTTCCATGCACACCTGGTCGCGCAAACAGCGCACGTCGCGGGAGTCGGTGTGCTGGCATGCGCAACAGGTGGCCCAGTCATCGGAGCCTGGTGCGTGATCTAACGATGCACAGCGGCTCACTTGCTCTTGCTGCACACAACGCCAACATGGTCAATGTTCATGCAGTGTTCTCAGCAGACATGAGCTAAGCTGCGAAGACAGCAATGGTCGAACGTAACAGGTCTCTTTAGGCCTGTCGAACTGATGGAGCGCGTTTCGTAACCGTAGAGGAGGATTGAATGCACGGCTGCACTGTAAACTCTGCCCCTCATGGTGACAGTAATGTCGCACCGACACCACATGTGGCGGAGATTGGCAAAAGCAAAACGGGCTTTTGCAATACGATGGGTGATCTCAAGTTCTATCTCACCATCGCTAATATAGCTGCCAAGATACTTGAATTTCTGAAGGACTTCAGGTGATCTACACCAAGAGTCAAGGCAGGGATGGGTCCCTGTCAATCTTGGAGGAAAAGTTTGCATCTAGAAAGAGTAAAGCATAGTTCGAAACGACTAACAGCCAATGATAATCTGTCCAGTGCCGCTTAGCACCTTTGCGAGCTGTCACGAATGAGGGCAATGTCATCAGCAAACTCTAAGTCAAAAAGTCGTTCTTCTGGGAGCAGCTCGACACCGTCTAAGTTGTGCGCAGTGAATGCCATCTCCATGACTTCATCGATGGCAAAGTTAAATAGGGAATGGTGACAGCCGGCAACCTTGCCTTACACCGCGGGAGCTACAAAAGGGTGGCGATAGTTTGCCATAAGCCCTCATTCCGCCCTAACTACGCGCATACAACGCTGGGATAATGTTTACATACCTATCGAGCATACATTTACCGAGCAGATAGTTCCAAAAAGCACATCTATCCACCGAATCGAAGGTACCTTCGATGTCGAGGAACACGACTACAGTAGGTCGCCAATAAATATGGCAGTGTTCCAACAAATGGCGTAAAGTGAAGATGTGGTCAATACAACCTCGATTCTGGCGAAACCCGGCCTGCTTCTCACGAATCCGACTTTCACTAGTGTCAGTCTGTGTGGAGCGCGACAAAAGCAAGCAACTGAGACCATACTGAACGCTCTGTAACTGCCACAACCCGAACGTGAACCATTTTGAAAACCGAGACTAGAACGGAGCGGCTCCAAACTGCTGGGTCAGTCTCCTGCTCACACAGCTTCACCAGTAAGTTATGCACTTCATTTACAAGAGCAGGTCATCCGAATTTGAAGAGAGCTGGAGGAAGTCTATCTGCCTCTACGGTCTTATTCGATTACAACCGTTTGATCTCACGTTCGATTTCTACACTTGAGGGCGGATCCAAGGGGACAGCCCAGGGAGTAGGGCGATCAATGGCCGGTAAGGAAGATGGCAACTCTGGATGACTAAACTGCTTTTTAATGTTCGGACCAATGCTCTAAGCGTTTTAACAAGCGGTAATTTGGCTGTCCACCCGCGTTGCATATAGTCTAATACCAGGGTTCCTGCTGCCCGTTTCGCGTACCAGACAGAATAACTTCCGATGCTTATCTGGGGCAGCGGCTGTCTCCATTTCCGATGCACGACGAGACCACCAGGCTTCACGGTCTCTCTACAGGCTAGCACGTAGTTTTGCCCTGAGGTCTTTGCGAGTCTCGTTGTGTTCACCTCCGGCCGGAATGTGCCGGCGAGCGTCTAAAAGCTCCAGACTACGTACAGACCTAATGTCCAGGTTGGCGATTTGAATTGTCACATGAAAACATACCTGCTGCTAATAACATCTAGCGAATATGTGACTGGTGATCTTCAACTGTTCAGTGATCGCTTGCTCAGCGTGCTTTGATACACATTCAGTATACCTGGCCTCGTCAGTTAACTGATGTCTATGCCCTCACACTACTGTTGCGGACATCCGCCGAAACGCACCCGCAGGTCGGCGCATACAAATGCGTCGTCAAAGTCCACTCTCGTGTTCCAGGTCGAGCGGCAGTTTCGGACACAGCCTCTCCAGCAGTAACTGGTCACGAGGTGATCTGTGTGCTACTATGGTTTGTCTGAGGCTTGTGGGCGCCATGTCACCCTCCGGCGGGTGCTGTGCCGAAAGGTAGTGCTCGCGAGGTACGGAAGAGCATCTACACACAAATGTAGTAACCGCTCACCGTCATCATTACGGGAGCCTACATCGTGTTGGCTGTCCAAATGCAGCTCGGCAGTGGACAATTTTCCAGCATGGTCGTTCAGATCACCAGCAAGCATCACAGCGTTCATACTCTTTCTGAAACGAAGGAGCGAGTTCAATTGGTGATAGAAGACGTCTTTCACCGAACCAGAGGTACACTTTGTTGGCGCGTAGGCCGCAATAACAAACAGGCACCATTTGTTCCTGCGCGATTTCGAAGCTCTGAACGTGCCACCCAATCTGACGGTGCATATCCGTCTGTTGACTGGGATCCAATCGAACCAGGGTACTTTCAGTCCGGGGACTCATAACAGTGCCCACACTGGCTTGACTGACATTTGGAGCTGTGTTAGATCCGGATAAACGCAACGAGAACGTGTTGTCATCGTCGCATGTGAGGGATCGCAGAGTAATCATAGAACTCGAATCTTGCAGGCGGGGCTCCGATAAGCAGGAAATATCGATCGACAGGGTCTCTAGTGTTCGGGCAAGTGCTGCCTGTTGACCAATCTGTCACAAGATGAGCACGTTGAGACATGCTAGTCTAAGGGGAAATCGAGCGATCCAAAAAGAAACGGATAAACTGACATTATCCGCTTGGCTAAACACTGACTTGTCGACTGGACTGGAGCGACACCCTGCGATTGTATGTGATGAAACTAGAAGACAAGCGAGCAGTGAAGCGAGATGGAGGAGGACCAAGTGTTGGGGGGAGGGGTTGAAAACGGGGAGTGATAAAAGTAAACTTGGAGCTAGACAATGAGGAAGAAAATACGCAAGAGGGGGAATAAGTAGACGGGAAGGTCTGAGCAGTAGCGTCCACGCCCTTACCCACCCTGCTCGATGTAGCAGATAGGGTGCCGTTTATTATCCTCTCCGATGGTCAGAGCATCACGAAAGCGTTAGAAGAGAAATTCATTGTGTTGCGTGGACAGGATGTTGTTAGGTTGCCCAGGCCTAAGCAGGAAACGATTAGGGTTCCCAATCAAATCCATGGTTCACAAACCTGAGCGCATGGTAGCAGGGGGCTTTGACACCGGGCTACAGAGTGAGAGAGATAGAGAAACCGACAGAAGATACAATCCTATCAAGTAGGCTAGAGCTACCTCAGTTATTGAGAAAACAAGAGAGGATTGAAGCAGCAAAGAGTAGTACGTCGCTTCGATGATGTAAGAACGCGCACCGGCCAGTTAATCCACACGAGCTGAGATCATCGTTACATCATTACACGTTAGCTGGAGGTGGAAAACACCTCAGCTATTGTGCCGCAATACAAAAGACAAGAAAAGGAAAACAAACAGTGGCACGCCCGCTTAGTCTCCAGTAACGGATGGACATGGTTGCGGAGAGTTAACAGCTGGCTAACGTAAAAGAGAGTCATATTATGCCTAACAAGTGAGATCGTGATTGGAGGAGGATGATAAACAGGAGGGTGATGGACAAAGGAAATCACAACACAAACGCCATTGATGCCCGCTCCGAGCCATATCAGCAAGTGTGTCCAACCAAACGTGTTCACCGTCCTTAGGACCCCAGCCAGGCAGTCGGGATGCACCAACCGACGCCAACTTCGAAGTGAGGGTTTTCATTCCTCTCGACCAAGTCATCACTTGGCCTCCCCTCCTCCTCTTCCAACCGCACCCACAACGAGCAAACAATGCACGTCGCGGGAGTCAGTGTGCTGACATGCGCAACACGTGGCCCAGCCATCGGACCCTGGTGCGTGATATAATGGTGCTGAGCAGTTCACTCGCTTTTCCTGCACCAAATACACGACGTCGAACACGCTCATTGCTCACGCGGTGCTCCCACCAGACATGAGCTAAGCTGCGAAGGCACCGATGATCGAATATGACGAGCCTCTTTATGTCTGTCGACCTGATGGGCCATGTTTCACAGGCACATAGGAGAGTTGAACGGACGGCTGTGTTATAAACTCTGTCCTTCAGGGCGAGAGTAATGTCGCGTCTGCGCCACAGGTGG